CATGGACTTAAATTATCTAGAAATTGGTCCCTACTTTGAAATTCTTCCACACTTATATTACATATTGGCATATACATTCATCATATCTATTGCTTCTCAATTTTCACATTTATTTGATAAATGTGATCAAGCAAATGTAAACAAGGAAACTTGCAAGTAATTGTAGGGAAGTGATGAACGGAGAGGAGTAAAATACTCTTGAGTTATTTTGGCCTTCTTTTTATAAGGTCCAACATTAATGTTGCTACTTTTTGGAGCAAATAATTTTCTACCAAATATGGTTTTCTTTCTCTAAGTTTTCGTTCCCACTTCTTCGCACTGTCTTTATTGTTCTTACATTTTTTTTTATTCTTTGGGATTCATTACAATAGAACTACATATTAAAAGTGATATTCGCCCTATAAATTTATTAAAACATCTTTAATGAAATTATTTATTATGTTATTTCATTAAAAAAATTTAATAAATTTATAAGTCAAACTACACATTTAATGTACAGTCTGCCTTATAAAACATTTTTTTTGTGTTTCTTTTATTATTTCTAATTTTGTTTCCCTTAACAAAGTGGAATTAAAGAAGTGGAATTAAAGAAGTTAAAAGAGAAAGGGTTTATCTTTATATCTTTACCTAATTAAAAGATCTACTGATGTTTTAAAACCCAATAATTCTTTCATTTAAGCCCAATCCTTGGGCCTAGTACTCTAAAAACCCACTAATCTACCTATCTATCTATTTATCACCAATTCCCTAATTTCTTTCCAATAAAAGCCCATCGAACGAAGTAGGCCCTATTTCTTTACGTAATTAAATCATCAAAAAAACCTACTTAGAGGTGTCTTGAAGCCCAATAGTTATTTCATTTAAACCCAACCCTCTGATCCACTCTAAAAATCCACTAGTCTACTTATTCCGTCTCTCTATCACCGATTCCCTAATTTCTTTCAAGTAAAAACCCATCTAACCAAGCAGGCCCATAAATTCTTCTCAATTCTCTCCACAAACGTTGGGCAACCACTCAATTCTTCTCAATTTTCTCCATTTTCGATTCCCTATTGTTCTTCCTTATCTATAAGTGATTGATGGCCGCTATTGAAGATTCAATTGAGTATCTTATTTTAAATATAAATAAAATGATTATACATATTTAATTTTTTGAAAGAAATTTATAAACTTAATTATTTA